TGTACTAAACTCAGAATTTCAGAAGTGTGCAGTTTCTGCAGAATGCGGCAGGCCTGTACTATATTCAGTTAAGCTCATTCCTCAGTGACAATCCCTGTCTCTGGAGAGAGAGCGTCCAGTCTCCGCGTCCGTGTTTCTAAATTACACGGGACGACGGACAACAGTCAGAAACACAATAATTGCATCAATGTGCCATTGTCACAAACTTGTAAATCTATTTACAGGGAACAGTGGTCATGTGTGCGCGAGTTTGGACGACCTGAGAAATTTGCGGCAGCCTGCATTCGGCTATACGTGTACGTTGCCTCTGTCAGGCCGCTCTTTCGGCAGCAGTCTTCTCACGTGTCACGTGACAACCGTCCAGTCACAACAGCCGTACGTTTAGTTACAGTACCGTGTACAGTACTGCTTGGGTTCGGTCTTTAGGATAAAAATTCCTGACATCCGGAAGAAGTACAGCCTTACTCCTCATTACTGTAGTCTCTCTGTAGCACGGAATCTTTCCCAAAAGAGGATAATATTTTGGACATTTTTACAACGGCAATCAGCCCACCGTTCTAGAACTGCAGATAACTTCTCAAATACGATCTTCTCCGATATGACGTCGTGTATTTTGGTAGATAGGTACCAACGTTTCGGAGGAATCTGTTGCCTCCATCTTCGGGTAAGCCTGTTTAACGTACTCCTATGATGCGCACATATTTCTTGAAAAGTTGATACTCCCTCAGTCAAGAAAGTCACTGCCCCCCATTGTCACATTTAAAGGAACCGCCAATGCTCCAAGTTGGGTACTCTGTCCAACGTTTCATTTCGTTTCAATGCTTATTTATTTACGTGCTAACTTAACAACCGAAAGGCCAGTTATAAAGTAAGCATGAGTAAAGTGAAGAAACAAAATACAAAACAAGTAAACTTATCATCTGTATAATAATCAGAATTCATTAACGCAAATCAAAGTTTTAATTAAGAAGTGAGAAAAGCAAAATATATACAGTTATCGTGTTAATGTTTAGAAGAAGCATACCTAGCACAAAATATGGCAGTAATAAATAATTCAAGGTGTAAATATTTCGACATAATAATAAGCAACGATCCCGACGCGGACCCCATATAAAAGTCTGTCTATTGTTGAGGCTTGTTGAGAAACAGCAACGGGATATCGTGTATTGTTGTCGGGCGTCTCCGCCCTTGCATTGCATAGCAATGGACGCCTTTTTGTTGCGCATTCGTTGCTGTGATGTGTTTACCAGTCCGTTAACTAGCACCTGACGCCCTTCTGCCCTTTGGTTGGAACATATTTACGCATTCGTCTCCTAGAAACGGCCCAATCTGTAACATTATTTTAAGGCAAGTAATGAGCCCCACGCTCAACCCTCAAGCTGGAGGACCATTTCTTGTCCACTGCCCGCGACTATTTTTTTAGTATATTCGCAGCTGCCTCCATATGTTGAGGCCGTCTGCTCACTCCCCCCACCTGAGGAGGAGCCGTGCCCTGGTAACACGGGACCCACTAGACACGCATCGCGTTATGACATATGTGAAGCATAGCTCAAACGGTTAGTCGCTGGCTTCCCGATCCCAGGTCTGGTCAAGTGGGATCTGTGGTGGACAAAGTGGCGCTGGGGCAGGTTTCCTCCGAGTACTTCGGTTTCCCCTGCCAATCTTCATTCCACCAACTGCTCCACAATCACCCCCACCTATCATCCGGGGCTGGTACAATAGGCCAGAAGTGGCCGCAGTACAAGGGACTTAGTCCCACCCCACTCATCATCATCAGTAATCTGTCAGACGACAGGTCCACAGTCTCTTCCAAAACAATTCCTCCACTTAATGCGATCTAGAGCTTTCTCCTTCAAATGACAGTATCCTCTTCTGTCCCCAAGGTCATCCAGAATCTTCTTACGTCTTCTTCCTCGTCTTCTTGTCACTTCTATCCGCCCCTCTATCTTTCCTTCAATAACTTCTTTTAGAAGGCAGTTTCTGCGTAAAACATGACCAATCCAATTAGCCTTCCGTTTTCTCATTTCGTGTAGGATATTCCTCTGCTCACTGACTCTAATTAACACTTCTTCATTTCTCACATAATCGGTCCAACTGATCTTCTCCATCCTTCTCCAACACCACATTTCGAAACTTTCCAGATGTTTCTGATCTACTGTCCTAAGTGTCCATGTTTCAGCCCCAAACAGAGCTATGCTCCAAATGTAGCATTTCACTAGTTTCTTCCTCAAATTTAAGCCCACCCCACTAGCAATAAAAAAATATGTGAAGCACGATGCGCAAGCGCCAAGTCTGTCCCGTACAGAGGACAGGAGAGAGCGGCTGCGCTTCCTACTGCCTAGACGACTGGATAATTTGTCGGGAAAGGTTAATGGAGTACTGGAAATTTTTGCAAATGGATATGGCACAGAGGTAAGCCGCATGGACCTCAGCATAAGGAAAATGAGTGCCACTTCATTTCCTCCTACATCGAACCCATTTCAACTCTCGTGTGGGTGACTACTTGATTCTGCGTTCTGATTCTGTGAACTATCTCTGTATCCTGTCACGCAAGAAGCTGTGTTCTCAATTACACATCTCTTCAGGTAATAAAACCTCGGTGGCTAATTTGTCCTTCCTTGGGCAGCATTAAGCTTGGCCTCGGCTGCCGGAACAGACTTACAGTAACTTGAAAAAATACTGTCACGTGACTATAGACGGGTTTGCAGTTGATGACTCGATTTATTGGACTCTCTGATACAGTGTGTGATCACATTTTACAGTTCACTATTACACGCATATTAGTGCCTACATTCACGTCTTTACTATCGTTGCTTGGTAGCGGCTTCAAATGATGGACTTTCCCCTTCCTCGGGGTTCTCAAAACGTCCCGGCCACAGCGGCCGGCTTCTCACAGCAACAGCTCACAATGATTGAACCCCAGCAGTTACCTAACTCACTCACCAACCAACTCTTCACTAACTTCTAATTTGTTCTACTTATAACATCTCGTCGCGGAAAGCACAGAAAACACCGTTCTCTGTTTCTGTGCAGCTGTCGTAATCTTGTCTGCTGGGCTGTCCACATGGTCGCTGCTAAGCCACTGCCTTGCAATAGTCGTTGTTTGCAGGGTCATTACTTAGCAACGGCTGTTGGATAGTTGTTATCTCGCGGTCTTTGCCTATCAACGGGTCCACATGCCACAATGTAAACGAATTTTTCATATTTTTGTTACAGTCTGATTCTCGCAACTATGATTTCATTACAAAGTGTTTACAATTCATAATACTTCATTTCAGAAAAGATCGCGGTGGTTTATTTCTTTTTAATGCCTTTAAAGTGAAATAGACTGTCATTTTATCGTGGATAATGTTAGTTTTCGTGAAGCCACTGAATTTCCATTTGGACTGCAAGGTTCGGCCCTTCATTGGGGCGTATCATCGCTACTAACAGCGTAACATCAGTTCTTTCTTGGTTTTATAATAAGACTATGCTTTCTCTGGAATATACGTAAATTTCTTATGTGTGATTCTGGTTAACTGTTAGCTCTTTTCGTTGTATCTTTCTATTCCATTGCATTGACTGAGCAGTTTAGTGTTGCCACCAACATTCCAGTGCTGTCGGAAACTGAATTACTCTTATTACTGTATCAAGAACTTTTGTTTAAATGTAAATAATATTAATTGATATTGCTTTTTAATTCTTTGTTTTCTGTTTGTATTTGTCAACATGTTTGTTTGCGCTGTTGTGGGTCTGTATTCGTGCTGATCCTGTAACTGACCCCTGACAGATGACTTCGGCATGCAGATCAATAAAGAATGATTATTATTACTACTGCTGCGTGTTCCTATTTTTACGTGACTTTTGGTTTGCTTGTTTTTTTTTTGTGTGTGTCTTACTTATTATTATTACACATACTCTTGAACTTGATACAGTTTTTGGCATCATCATTAAATATTAAAACTATTACATAAAATCCTGGGTATTAAAAAATCCAAGAAATCCCATGCTCCTTTCGAATGGACTCATATGAGTGACAAACTGAAATATACGCTTTCCTTCATTGCTCTTAGAGTGCGCATCTTCGCACAAGAGAAAAGAAAACGTTTTCCTTTTGTTTTAATTTAGAGAAGAAACGTTATGTTTAAGAAGTAGATACTAAAGGTTTCTGACGATGGTGTATAACACTCAGAGTTACTGGGTTTTCGGGCTTTGTCCATCGTCCCGTATTCTAAAAACTAGAAAACACAGCGTTTCCCCTCTCACCTGAGGACGGAAGCAGATCCAGTTTCCGAAACGTTGCGACGGGACGATGGACAAAGCCCGAAAAAACCAGTAACTGATCTCCCAGTGTGACACAGGCTTTACACACATCCCGCGTCACTGCTAACGGAACTGTGCCCGCCCACGTCAGTAAACCTTGCTAACTAGCTGCGAGATACACGTGTGTGTGTGTGTGTGTTGAAGTTTGCGCATAAGCTCTCCTTGGTTGGAATCTTTATTAAGAAGAAAGACGACAATGTTGCACCGCACATATGCTGAGAGACACATCTCAACAGTGTTATTTGTCGCAATGGCACATAGCCCGTTGTTAGGGATACTTACACAGCGCGCGTGGGGTCACGCGGTAGCGTAGTTGGTCGAGGAACTATGCTACAAGCTGGAAGGTCGCGGGTTCAAGTCCCGATGAGGTCAGTGGATTTTTTTTCAATTTACCTAATAATTCCAGCCACATTATGGTCCTGGGTTCGACTCAGCCTCTAACAGAAATGAGTACCAGGAATATTCTTGGGGTTAAGGGCGGCCAGCGCATAAGGCTGACAACCTCACCAACATCTGTGAGCCGACTGTCTAGAAAATGTGGGAGCCACATCATCTCACAACCCTAAAGGCCTCCACGGCCTGTTACAGGGATATGTTTACTTTATTTACTCACAGAGCGCGCTGCAGGACACAACTGCGATCGAATGATCATGGAAGATGTACACAACTAGTTAGTTCTGCATCATGATCGGGCTTACCGTGGTCCACGTCATCCAGACGCCAATGTGTTCTGACGGCTCCGTGAGACAGAGCTGTAACAAACTGTGCCCGTGGAGCGGGGCACGCGGATATCACTGCTCTCTTGAAATCCAGACCAGGCAGACGTCCACAGCAGACTGCATATGAGCTGACTGCTTGAACACGTCCGTGTGAGGCTGTGTGCCGCTCGAGCCCGACAATACTTGGACGCAATTCATGCAGGAGGTAGGGCCGACTGCACGGCCTCCACGGTCGCCAGATTTAACTCTGGTTGTGAGGACACGTGAAGGGGCACGCTTGCGCGGTCCGTGCAAGGACTATCGAAGATCACGTGGCTCTGATAACGGCCGGAGCCAACAACGAGGTCTCGAAATGGAGGACGCCGCTCCGACCACGAGGCGTCACGTGATACTGCGCGCAATTTGTTGGTACGTGTGCCTTATAAATTAATGCCACAAGGTACACGGTGTACGGTATTTTCGATATTTTTTAGCGAGGATCAGACTGTGGAGAGCTTGTGTGCAAATGTTGCTTCACCTTGCATGTGTGTGTGTGTGTGTGTGTGTGTGTGTGTATCTATATACTTATATACTGAGTGTTTCACGACTTTAGGGCGTAACTGCAGGAGGTGATTTCCTAGGTCTTCGTGATCAAAAAAGTTCATAATAAACATGTGTCCGATTTTGGACGGTTACGGAGTTATGACCATTTTAAACTCAGAATAGAAGGTAACGATTACTGACAATAAACGGAACAAAATAATAAACCAGCATAATACATGATACATTTAAAGTATGAATGTAAAGTTAACTTCGTGAAATTTCCTCTAATTTAATTTATTGGTGCTTAAAGATGATTTTCGAAAATGCCTCTGCTGGCCGCAACACAGGCTGCCGCTCGGTTGTGGACCGCGCCGGACATACCAACCCACCCTCTCAAGTGTCGAGATAACGAGAACGCTCTGTCTGCCAGCTGGCTGAAAATAGCGACCCGACAGCTGAGAGACGCGGTTCACACGAGGGCGTGTACGGGAATGAAAATGGTCATAACTCCGTAACCATCCAAAATCGGACACATGTTTATATGAACTTTTTTGATCACAAAGACCTAGGAAATTACCTCCTGCAGTTATGCCCTAAAGTCGTGAAACACCCTGTATATTAAATCGTTGCCCTTGATTTCCACTTAATCCTTTTCTGGGGACGAATTCGGGCTTTATTTCGTTCTTTGCAAAATATTCTTTGTAAATTTTCGGGCTTCACTGGATATTTCTGGTCAAGATTCGAACTCCTTTTGTGTTTTCTTTCTGTTTCAAATCTGTTTGCTACGGCACTGCCACACAACGCACAGCGACGGGACGTCAGGTTTGCGTTCTCTCTTTACCGGCACTTTTCAACTCCAGAGTTCTCCGACTATTGCTTTACACTTTATGTGCTGATTCCCTGTTCATTAGGAAACCCGCCAGGTTTCAGATGCTGTCTCTGCTTCCTTCATCAGTGGATAGGATAGACAAAATTCCTACTTTGTTGGTTCCCTAGATAAAACTATTCTCAGACTTTACACATAACTAAATCTCTTATCAATCCTGTATCTGAGCACTAGTTTTCCTCCGGTGTTGAGGTTAATATTTGGAAATCTACTTCAAAATTTTACGCGCCCATGTTAAATAGGGAGACAAGCCTGGCACATAGAGCTCAAGTGTAATAACGACTGGACAAAAGAAGAGACTTCTCAGTACACCGTTAAGCTGACAGCTCCAGGCGAACTGGAAGGCATTTTCTGTTGTCTGTTCCTCTTTTTCCTTTGGCGCTACAGCCCCAATTTGGGCCTTGGCCTACCTCCATGAAACTCTCCGTTTCACTTCGGTTTACTAGATCTTAAGACATTCGGTAGGACTCCTTGAGCGGGCTATCAGCTCGTCGCAAGGCCTCTACCTGTGTGCAAACAGAAAAACGCACACACAAACACTAGCATCCATGCTCTGAGTGGAATTCGAACCCACGGTCCCTGCTTCCGAGCGAGCGAAGACACTGCATGCCTTAAGACAGCTCGGCTACAGTGACCGGCAGTGTATAAAAAGGTAAGGTAAAGCTATGCCCTACCGAAGTGAACGGAGAAGTTCATGGAGGTAGGCCTAGGCCCACTGTGGCTGTAGTGCCAAGGGGGGGGGAAAGCTATGCCCATAACAGGCCGTGTAGACCCATAGGATTGTGAGACGTCGAGGCTCCCACATTTTCTAAACAACTGGCTCACAGATGGCGGTAAGGTTGTCAGCCTTACGCGCCGGCCGCCCTTTACTCCCCAGGAAGATTCCTGGTACTCATTTCTGTTAGAGGCTGAGTCGACCCCAGGGCCATCACGGTACGGCTGGGAGGATTAGGTCAATTGAAAAAATCCAACTCATCGGTACTCGATCCCGCGACCTTCCGGCTTGTAGCGTAGTGCCTCAACCAACTGTGCTGCCGAGTGCCCTCGACAGGCTGTCTGTTCCTTACTTAATCGAAATTCTTCTGATATCACATGATGGAATGTGATTTACACGGTTGAAACAGAACCGTTGGGCGGCATATGAACCAACTGAAATTAAAAGTAATATTGTGTTCCCGTCTCTACAAATTCAGCTATGACTGACATGTAATGGTTAAGTCTTCAAGACGTGTCAACTGCAGGTTCCAGAGGAGTGTGAGACGGCGCAGTCCTCAGATACCTACATTAGTGGGGTATTTAGGGTTCCCAGTCGCGTGGTCAGCAAATCGAACTGCGGAAGGTAGGCTAAAATGCAATAATTTGGAATGGCACTAAACAAGCAACAATAATAATAATTTGTGGGATGCTTACTACAGTTCAGTCACCTATCTAGACTGTCAGTGCGCAGGACAAAGCTATGTAACTGTCTCGCACAAGGAAGAACAGGAAGGACAGATCTGGAGCAAGAGAGAAGGAACACAGTACTCATTTGTAACCTTCACTAAGTATGATTATAATGATCTATCCGAGGAGGATGAGATGGGTGGAGCATGTAGCACGTACGGGAGAGTGAAAAAACGCACACAAAGTTTTAGTCGGAAGAACTCAAGGTAAAATATTTTTCCGGAAACCTAACCGTAGAAGTTGCCAGTTAATTTTCTAAAGCCAGGTGGTTTATACGAGTACATTATCTGCTTTAGCGTACTGTGTCTGTGTGTGTGTGTGTGTGTGTGTATGTATGTATGTATGTATGTAAGGGGTGGGCCATAGAAATCGGCCCACGCACTGCGACCTTCAATGATCTATTGTGCTTCCACTCGGATTAGCCCTTTATTAATCCTACACTTTTAATAAAGTGATCCGCTTTACTTCGATCATCCGAGGGAGTGAGTATCTCATCCCCCTCCCCCTCAGAGACCGAATTTGAAGATGCTGAGCCTGGCACAGGTTCTGCCCGGTGATGACTTTCAGGATCTTTCAGCACCTTGACAGTCCCCTGTGAGTATCTTGTAACCGGTCATCTGTATAATAGTTAACGAGTTTAACGTACTGTAAGTGTGCTTTCTTGCCGCGGACTGTACCTGTGTACACCACAGCAATTAGTTTCATTTTCGGCGGAGAAGTGATGCGTTTCCTGTGACCTACGAACTCAATTTGTATACATTACTCTGAAGAAATTTGGCCTTTCAAGTGCATACAGAAATTTGGTGTGAGGGCCTGGGGCAGGAAAGTGCAACGGTCAGGTTGCTAGCTCTAGGACTGTTCCATGATGGCTGCAATTCTCAACTAATAGGTCACATTAAACACTGCCAACTCCTCATTCGTCAGTACATAATTGACAATAAAGCAGTGCTGCCAACTTGCTGACGCAGTTGCACCACGCCAGTGAGCAAGCAAAACAAGTATCCGCTTTGAATCCGCTTTACAACCGGTTGTTCTGCTTGTGGTTACCGTGGCTCCCTCAATACCGCCAAGCAATTGCTGGAAATAGATCACTGAATTAGGCCACGACCACTTCTAAAATATTCTCCTCAATTTGTCGTTCGTAGCTCTGCACATATATCACCCTACACAAGGCACACAGCTAATATGGCGTCTTAAGCTAAGACGTCAGGAATTTGTTCTCCGCATGGTGACAAACCTAGCGACAGGCACGCAATAAAACCAAGACATATCTGTGTGCCTGACGAGTCAGGGCGGCGTCCACCTCCAACATTCTGTGGCATAAAATAATATCCAAAAATACGAAAAATAACCCTATGTGCACAGAAGGATTCTTTCAGTTCGACTGGGTAGTTACACAAAAAAAATACTTTCCATTTCTAGAGTTCAAAATGACATAATCGCTCTGGTTTGGACATTACTAATTTCGTGTAAACTCTTGATCCCAATTCTTGGTTTGAAAATATTTCTCTAACTGCTTTGACACTGAAATGTTGTAGCAAAATTTTTATGTGGCACTTAGGAAAAATATCGAACACACGTTATAGCCCTCACAGAAGCCGTCCTTCCTCTCCTGCGTCATGAGTCTACGGCAACGGCCTCTTTGTGTCATGTAGGCATCCTGTTTACTAACAAACTGTACCCTTTTCACTGCTGATGTGAAATCCTGTCCCTAATTCGTGAGACTCATTCTCATTTCCATGGAAGAACTTTGAATCGCTTCCTGGCTCATTACAAACCCTGTCCCACCTGACCTCGGGTTCCCTTAAGTCCGGGGCGCCGCATCACATTCAGTATCTATGGTGAGGAGCTGTTAGCCCCGCCCCGCCCCGCCCCACCCCACTCCAAAAGCTACAGGACCACCCCTTCTCGGCAATCTGCAACAGCTAATTCAATACAATCACTGGTACCTTTCACAGCGCCCAGACCGGCTCTGGGGCACACCCAACCTCCTATCCAATGGAGAACTAGGACTTATTCACCGAGGATACGGAGCAAGAACCGTGAAGAAAGGTGGAGCTATACCTCCACACCCCCATGTCTTCAGCACTGGAAGAACTTTAACTTTTTCCCGCCTCCTCCATCCTCAAACGGAGGACATGCTGTTACATGCTCACGGGACCCCACTACGACTAAGTCACGGAGGATGCGACGGACAGGGCAAATAGCCTGCCGGGGGGGGGGAGTTCATACACGGTTCTGGTGGGAAACCCAGAAGGAAAACGTAGATGTGGGTGCAAGGACAATACAAAAATGGATATTGGAGAAAAAGGATGGGGTTGTATGGATTG